ATAAATAAGTAAAAGCGAGATGCCAGGTAGAATTCGACAACAAACTCTCGTTGCTGCTGATAGACAACTGACGGACCAGCGCCAGCAGGTTATAACATGACGTGATCTGCTTGGGCTCTTGTACAGTCATGGCGTTGTTGTGTCTATTAATCCGTTCGAAATTTACTGAATTTCAGCCATCATTAATTATTTTAATACGGGTTGCGTAACTTTTCGATCGCTTAACTACTGCCCTGCAATAGACCAGGTACTTAGACACTGACTTCTTACTCGTGGAGATTCGGGTTAAATCCACTGGCATTGAGTGAGATTCGTGGTTAACAAAGTGGCACTGGGTCATACCTTCTCCGAGTTCTTGGCTTATCGCCTGCTAATTGCCACTCCACCCTTGCCTCTTACTGCCCATGAGGTGTGTGTTAGGTTGTCCAAATATCACATTGTCATGTTCTCTAAGTCTTGGGCTAATCGGGAGTTTGCTGTACAGTATTAAAAAATACGAGAGCTGCCCAACTAAATGTGAGTACTTTGTAATGATCATCAGCTTTTAAAAAGTTAAATATTCACTTGTGTGCAGAGACACCAACACAGGTTATTGTCTTTAAGGTTGTCAATGACTGTTAGCGCCTGCCAGATGAGTTTAGACAACCCATTCACATGAGAGGCGGAGAAGATGCCTGTACAGCAAGGCGCTGCTGTACCAGGTTCCTGCGACTAACAATATGATGCCGTGCAGTGAACTTGCTCCTGATAAAAGTTCTTTCAACAATGAATAAAAAGTGTCCTATAATGAATTAGAATCATTTTTATTATTGCTACAACAGACCTCGACGTAAGTTCCGCTTTCAACGTCAATATACAACGATTCCTGGTCAGATATTCTTGTGATATCTAGAGTAAAACCCATTCAAAAGCTGTTGGCCATTGAATGTATAAATGAAATAATTGAAATGTAGTGGCAACCGTTTGGAAATGTAATTGAATACCTCTATCGTGTTTGCGTGATGAGCCACGCTACCATCGCTAAAAGAGCGTGACCGATCCTTTGCTCTTGGGATCTGACCCTACAACCTGCTTAAGGGAAGACTCAGTTATATGATATCTGAACCCGTTGTAATGTATATTGATCCCACCAGGGAACCAAAATATTGCATCAGCATTTGCCATGGTGATATTCTGTGTTGTTACGCTGTGTGAAATTTTAGATGGTTACTAACGTTTCGGAAGAACATATTGCTTCCATCTTCATGGCTGAAGGTAAAGGAACTGCGTTCTCCAAAACATATGGACCCACCTACAAATCCACACGCCATCAAAACCCAGAATACCGTGGTCCACATCTTTATCGCCATATGAAACTCGAATCTCACGTTTGTTATGTACTTGCTGCCTCCATCTACCCTGATGATGGATGCAGCAAGCTGCATCCCAGAAGACAGTCATCTTTATGCTTTCCACCGTGAGACACCGAATTCTCAACCACGTTCAGACTCCTACGTATCTCATACGTGTATAGTGTTCCGAAAGATTAATCTGTGAAAGACAAAGGTAATGTTTTCCCTATGTTTCGTTAATCACCCAGCCGTGAAGCATATGTCGGAGTGCAGATAGTTTTTCGACACATTGTGAACCTCGTCATTGGATGGAGGTGAATGATAAGCTTTACCCCGCGGCCAGTTTACCCCCGGTAAACAGCAGCCAGTACCCTGGGGAGGAGGCAGGGTGGAACCCAGAGCTGGCAAAAACAGACTTTTGCTTATGCCAGCGGCCAAGCCCAGAATCCCAGTCATTTTAGCCCGTAGACAGTCATCATAATGGCCAAGATATTCCGGTCGATAAGTCGTTGTATGCATTTTCTAATTAATATTTGTATTTAAACAAATTTGTGTGCGCAATAATATTATTTAAACACAGACAATTTTAAGATGGCTGTCTTCTGGGTTGTAGGCCTGATGATGGAGGCAGCAAGGACCTCTGAAACATCGGTAAACTTCTAACAGACTGCAAGGTGCAATATCCCAGAAGACCACCCAGAAAGGGGCTGTTGGGTCTTGTGAAAGGCCAGCAGTATTTAATTATTTGATGCTACAACTCTGAAGACAGCCATCTTCATACTCAGCGCCATGAGAACCACATCCTACACATAAAGTAAATATTTGCTTTGCCATTTTATACTTTTGTTTTGGACCATTTGTGCTTGCATCGCAATACGAATAGTGGAGTGAGAGCTCCGCCTTGGTACCTGTTAGAGATAAGCCAGTTTGATCGAGTCTGCATTCCCACACCACATCAGAGTTACATTCTGCTAACTATGTCCTGATGTCCCTTGACATTTTCCAAGCAACATCCCTACATACTTGTCATTTATTCCATGCATGATATATTATCCTCCTGCCTAATCCTCCTTTATTAGTTTAATCATTGTAACAATATTAGGTTATGCGAAAAAATTATGAAATTTCACGCTATCTAATTTTCTCATGTAGTTTGTTACATCACCCTTCTTAGTTCGAAATTTCTTCCATAGCATTTTGTCCCCAGCTACACTCAAACCAAATTCTGCCCCCAGAGTGTGTTATATAGCAGTGAATAGTGCCACATGTGATGTTACTTAATATGTCATTTTGCAATAGTAATGGGGATGATGAATGTGAAATAATGATCGTGACTATCAAATTAGCACAATGTTAAAGTATGAAAGGCTTTATTGCTGGTTGGTAGATGGTCTAAGAAACATTACGATTCCAGTTACTATGTTTGAGAAGTTTATTGTAGCTTATTCATGCTAAATACCAACATCACATGTGGTATCTCTCTACACAGAGATGTTATCAGAAAAGCACAGCCTGTATTTGGCCCATGCAATATCTTCTTATTCTTATTCTTTAGCATTTGTCCCACTTTGGCAGGATCTGCTTTCTTTCCTCTCTTTTTGGAGGTTGCATAATCTATTTAGATATTTGGTAGGACTCCTTGGATGAGTGATCAGCCAGTCGCAAGGCCTCTACCTGTACACAGGACAGCACAACACAGAAAGACGCGGACAAACATCCATGGCGTGAGTGGGATTCGAACCCACGGTCCCAATGCCCAAACAAAGGTTTCACCTAAGGTAGTAATAAGTTACAAATAAATCTACACATTACATATAGATGATAAATTATCACTGACTTGCAAACAATAGAAATTCATCGACAGAGTAAAAGGAGTGTGTAATTAAGTATCTTTTCAATGCTGGTTTAAATTGTGCCTTTTTATTTACAAGACTTGTGAGATTTGATGGTTGACTTTTGAAAAGTTTTGATCCCTGCATAATATGCACTCTTCTGAAAACATGAGAGGTTGGCAATTGGTCTATGAAGCTGATTTTTATTCCTTGTGTTGACTGGGTGTATAGCAGAATTAGTTTGAAAGAGTTCTTGGTTATTTACAATAAAGTTCATTAATGAGAATATATATTGACGAGGAAGAGTTAAGATTTCTAATCTCTTAAACAGACTTCTACATGAATTCCTAGGTTTTACACCAGCCATTAATCTAACAATTTTATTTTGTAAAGTGAATATCTTTTTGATGTTTGATGAATTACCCCCCAAAATTATTCCATATTTCATTAAAGAGTGAAAATAAGCAAAATATACTGATCTGAGTGTGTCAGTGTTGCTGACATGCAACATAGATCAAATTGCATAACCACTTAACTTAGGTATCAGTTTATCAATATGATTTGTCCAATTCAGGTGCTCATCAATTTGCAAACCCAGGAATTTTGTATTTATTGGCTCTTGTATATACTTCCATTATAACCAATACTTAAAGCATATTTGTTATAAATTGTGTTATATTTGTTTTATCTACATTTAGGACCAGCTGAGCCATTTACTTATATGAAACAGAACTATGTTTGATGTTGAACAGAAATCATCAAAATTTTTATTATAAATTATGACACTTGTGTCATCAGCAAATATTATATATTGTAACTTCCCACAGACAAACATTACCTTTGAAATCCTCTACAAGGCCAAAAAACTCTGGACTCTCTTTCCGGAGCAGAACCAATTTCTGTCTTTTGCTCAGTTTCCTGAGACTGTTTGTTTTTGGTGCTTTTACTTCGACCTTTTGTTAAGTAGGATCTGAACCATTGTGCTGCTATTCTGTAAATGCCATAAAAATGTAATTTATCCAACATAATTTCATGATTTACACATATAACTTTACGAATTTTTTATTAATAATTATTCACATCTGAGGTGTATTCTTTTCAAGATCTTCGTCTAGTTTTATATTCAATATTTATTGTATTTTACCTTTAGCCATGACATTTCCAACATTGGTGTATGTTGTTTTACTAGAAAAATAAATGAATGAGTAACATTTGTCCACGGAGTCGTTGAGATGGTGGCATGGATAAGGATAAAACTATTTCATTTAACCATTGTGTGTTCCGCGCATGATATCAGCATCTGTTAGCAAAGTACGGAACTATAAATTCGCTTGGTTCAAATTATTCTCTTTGCCGGAACTGGTTATGGTTTCGTTTCGTTGTCCAGTCGGAACACGTGATTTGAACATTCAATGACAATGTAGATTTAACTGAATTTTTTTTTTATTATTTTTATGTACCTATATCTGCACTTTATATACATTTGTAATTGATTCACAGCTGAGGTATATTAATCTTTTCAAGGTTTTCGTCATTATTTTTAATTCAATATTTATTGTATTTTACGTTTATTCATGACATGTCCAATATCAGTGTATATTGATATACTGGACAAATAAATAAATGGACGTATGAGTAAAATTTTCACTTAACCATTGTGCGTTCCACACTTGGTATCAACATCTGTCGCCAGGGTTCGAACTATGAATCAGCACGTAACAATTTATTCTTTTGCCGAAGTTGGCCATGGTTTCGTTTCATTGCCTAGTCGGAACTCGTGATTCGAACATCCAATGACAATATAGAGTCTAAATATTGACCAATAGGAGCCGAGATATGGCTAGAGACGAACGTTCTACCCACAAATCCGCGCACCCAAGCGTTCTCTTGAAGAGGAAACGCCATTTTGTGAAGTTGAGTGGTGCGTTGTCTTGTCCTGAAGTTGTAGATACATACATTTCTGGAGCAATAAGTATTAAATACGGGACTACAGCTCGATATGTCAGTTGTTAAAGTAGAAATGAACGCAGAAAATGTTGATGGGCAACAAGAAAATCAAAGTGGACATAATCATTCGATGGGTGGTAGGGGCGGAGGACGTGGCGGAGGGCGGCAAAGATTTGGTGGGCCAGGAGGTCGACAGAGAGATGACATGAGAGGCGGAATGCGTCAAGATGTAAGTAAAAATAATTTGCTGCATGTGTTTTGCAGAAATGTGCGGATTATTAAAATATTTTGCCTTCCCCATCCACTTCATAAAATTTGCATTGTCTAGTAAGTGATGATCAGCATGGCTGTTCCACACAGTTAATATACCTTGTATTTTTAAAGGAACGTGTCCTTCAAGGGCATAAGAATGTAGTTACACGGTATGTTTTTATTTCCTTCGTGTAAAGTCGAAGTGATGTACAAAATGGTCCCAGAACATGTTCTTTGTGTGCCTGTAGCATTAAATATGTACAGAAACTTAGTATGGTGGAAATAGTTCCATGCATGTTAATGTTGAACGCAAGGAAGTTGGAAAACCAGAAGTGTAGGCTATGTGAAAGACCAGTGGTTCTGCTGCAGCATGCTTTTTTCAAAGCTAATGTGTTACAGCTAATACTCTGTAAACTCAGACCAGTTTAATCTTATTCTATAGTGTTCCAAAGACAAGAGTAAAGCACTTCTGGCTGCAGCATTGCAATATTTGTTAAACATGCACAGTGTTCGTTGGGCAAAAGGAAAATTATCCAATCTGTTGAAAAACACAAACTTGAAGAAATCACAGTTAAAACACTGACACCTGTTAACTTTTCTTTGGATGGCACAGTACTGCACTGCATATCATGTGCACAAGCCATGCAACTGTGATAGTGGCTGTTCCTTCTACCATACACTATCCTGCTAATTATAAATAAAAATACATTATGTTGGATGAATGTAAACATTTAAATAAACTGTTCCCACTAGTAATGTACTACAAATTGCTTAGTACATTCTTATGAAACAGTCGTACTGCATCTCTCAGTTTTGTAAATGAAAACATATCAATAGAGGGTGACAGAAATGGAAGTAAAAGCTTGTAAGGTCCTATGCTTCACTCTTATATCTGGATTATTTATAGTAATTGAATGAGAAAATTCCTTTGCAATTTCCCCACCTTTTGTAGAATTTGAAGCTTCATTACCATGTAAGATTTGAGGTTTTCACAGCGGTGAGTATGAAGATTTCTGGGTTGTTGCGCCCTGATGACGGAGGCAGTATGACCTCTGAAACGTTGGTTAACATCGACCAGACTACACAGCACAACAACCCAGAAGACAGAAATCTTCATTACCGTGTTTTCAATTGCTTGCCACTGGTCCCTGTCCTCAGCCCTCGGACTAGTGGTTAGCATGCTTGCCACTGGACCCAAGGTCCGCGGGTTCAATCCCAGCCGAGGTCAATGGACTTTTAAGGGGGATAAAAATCGGTAGCACAGCTTCCTTCGGAGGGGAAGCAAAGCCAGAGGTCCCATGTCGTAGATGTATGGCATGTGAAAGAATCTTACGAGCATGATACGAGATGTTTTGTAAGCAAAATTCAGTGGCCATCTTTCTCACCCAAGTCTCCAGATTAACTGCTAGATGATTCTGGCAGTCAAATCTGGTTTGAGTAGAAATTGTGCAGTCAGTGGGCTGGTCACTCACTACTTCACAACCAAGACCAAGAAGCCACCAAAAAGGAGGCAGCGAAAACCCACAACGGGGTTGTAGAGCCGAGAAACAACAACAGTACAGCTGCTTCAATCCATAACTTTTCCTATTCCGTTATTGAATATTTATAATCTGAATTACTGTCAGCTATAAGTAGGATTTAAGGTTTTAACACCATACTACACGGTGCAACAAACCAGAAGACCGAAATCTCCAGCTTTAAGTAAGCCGTAAAGTCATAAAATAAATATTAATTCTCTAGTGTGTTGCTTATAGTTGCCACTGTCAGTTTTTTTTACCACATACCAGTTTCCACAGTTTTATGGATGTTAGTTTTACTGTCAACTGTATGGTTATCAGGTTCATGTGTGCTATAGCTACCTGGTGTTTTTATAGTAAGTAACTCTCTGTTTTCATAGTGTTTTTGAACTTAGCCATTATGAACTTCAATACTGCTACAAAAACCAAGGACAAAATATTTATATGGTAGTTCTTCTACATTTTATTGTTATTTAATGTCACTGTTTCTACAGCATAGGTTATCTTACATCAAATATGGTGTGAAGGTGATAAATGGTAAGTAGGTAAGAATTTGGAAATATATGGGTTATTTAAAATGGCCATACGGGCAGTCATCGAACATGTGCAACAAAACATCAACATTTGAATATTGGTGATATCTCTACTGTGTCTCAGGAAACAAAATAAGAGTGAATGTGAATGAATAAATGAGTCTGCTTCAGCAGATAATAATAGTCCTGTCTGGTGAGTTAAAATCACAACTTGTGGGTAGTGCAACTTTCGGGCCAATCTTTATATACTGCAATCATTTCAGTTTTTCTGGTTTATGTATTTTCCAAAAACATGATCCCAGTAAGGGAAAACATGTAAGCATGTTCTTTATGAAGATGTATGGGAGTGAACCTTTTTTTTTTGGCTTTGCAGAAACTCCCATAAAACAATTTTTTGTGCTTATGCTGAATGATTAGATGACAACATATAAGTATAGACCATGTGATGTTTCCAAAAATATTTTGTTACATACACTATCTAAATTTGACCTCAGAATGTCAAATCATTTTTTGTTCTTATTTGTATCTCTTCTGTGACATGTCATGAGGAGTTCTTTTTGTGTTGGAAATAGTTCATTGCATTTTAGGTGAATGCAGAAAAAAATGTCGAGGGTGAGGATGCAGATGGTCAGGGTGGTGTAGGCCGAGGGGCAGCTGGTAGTGGCCGAGGCAGAGGGAACCGCTTTCGTGGTGGAGCTGGGGCACGTGAAGACTGGGGCATGCGCAACCAGGATGTAAGCACCCAAATTTCGTGTCTTGTGTGTGTAGTGTAGCATTTTTTAAGCTGTTATCCAATGGTTTGTTGAAATTGGCAGTATTTAAGAAATTACCATTCATTAAGAAATGAAAATTTTATGATTCTGAAACATTATGGGCCTTGTTCTGTTTTCAAATTGTTGACATAGCATGCTTTCAAGCTGCTGTGTATTTTATCCTTATTGACTATGCATCAAGACTTGCAGTTCGGCTGGCTGTGTCTCGCACTACCTTACCACTAAACCGTAACCTCATAGTTGTATTGCGGCCAGGTAGTACAGCAGGATTTAATTCCCTGCTGTTCCCATAAGATTAAAGATTAGCATTTTGTTGGAGAGATTTAATGATGCATGTAATTTCTGCAGTCTTGTACCCTTTCAAGATACTTTATTCTTGTCTGCTTCAAGTAATCCCAGCTAATGAAAGTATCAAGGTAACGAATAATTAAGATTGCAACGATAGGTGTGTGTGTGTGTGTGTGCATGTTTGAGGGTGTTTTGGGTGGGGGCAATAGAGAGGTAGGTCATATTAGATATCTACCCATTATTGAGATGAGATTTCTGGGTAGTGTAATTAGTATAAATAGGAGTGAGAAGAAGGAATGAGACAGTGACATGAATGGAGTAATATGTTTTGACCAAAACTGCAGTTGTCGAGTAGATTGGATTAAACATGCTTTGTACACAGAATGGGAATTGTATGTCTTGAAATTATGAAAATAGCATGTTACAAAATTATGATGAACTGTGGTTCTAGCCAAGCACTTGATTTGTGCTGAATGGTGTCCGAAGGACAGTGCGCTTTACTAAAGGGAGTTTCTGCTGTCGAAGCAATGTGTGTGTTACCAGTCATTCAACGAGTGTATTTAGTTCTGTATAAACTACAGAATACTAAAAATACAAGAATCAGACAAAACACTGAAAACTTAGGAAATTGATGGAGAACTGAGGATCAGCTGGTGTTTCTGTGCCATGTATTGGAATGGCTCTGCACCTGCTCAGATGGGTACTTGTGTTTGAAGGTTGAGTCATTTCTCCACTCTGACATGCAGTACTGGAGTAAAGGGAACATGAAAGAAAAAATTAATGTTGAAGCATTTGAAGCAGGGGTGTAGAGTCAGAAGCAATTTTAGGTGGAGTCAGTAAAAATGTACTGACTCTGACCTCGATATACCGTGTGAGCCCCTGGCAGTCTAACACTTGGGAAGAATCGACGGCGCGTTGAGCCACATTGTGTGGGAATAATGCTTTGTAACTTTTGCTCCGGTATCTTAAGAATACAGACTGTCTACAAATCATCCGATTTCTGCAATAACCATTAGACGTATGTTTAAATATAGGTTATAAGTCTAAAAGGTAGCCTGATGATTCACGTGGTGGTGATGAAATCTCTTATGGTGCCATTTACCATTTTAGTAGGTTTACCCCTATTAATACATATTGGAACGAATGTCTGAAGACAGACTTCCTAAGGCTGGGCTCAGCTACAAACCTACTCGGAAATGAGATCGAGGTCGGCCAAGAAGAAGATGGGAAGATCAATTTGAAGCTGGAACAGGCATTAGTGCCTGATGATGATGAATACATATTGAGCTTTTATGAATGCGTTGGAGATTTTAGTACCGACTCCACAGCCCTGATTTGAAGGATGTGGAAATGGATTTTAAGTGTCCATTGATGATTGATCTTGGTTTTAATCCCCGAAACTAAAAGTAATATAAGGTATTTAAGCCTAAAAGATCTTTTATGGCCTACCTTGAACCTAAAATGCTCTGCTGGAGGTTTCTCAGCCGGTATTCACTAATATTTCACATGCAGTAACATTAATATGGACTCAACAGCCTCAGTTCTGTTGCATTTGTATGTTTGTGAAGTTATTATGTGCCCTGACATTGTGTCAAATTTTTGTTCATCCATAACCAATAACAAAGTTGTCATATACTGCTTGTAATATCCTCCACTGCCCATGTGTTGTGCCCTCCGATGTTTACTCCCTCCTCAAGCACTACTTCTGTGATGCCATCATGTCCATAGATCTAGGCCAGGACCTTCCATTAACCTTCCTAAGGCCCAGTGGTGGAAATATGTATCACTTGTTTTAACTGTCATAATTTTGCATTTTTACCTACAGAGCATATGAATTTGTTTCATATGATTCTTGGAGCAAACTTGATTTTCTTAATCAGCAGAAAACAAGTTGATCTTTATCTTAGAGATTGGTTTTTCTTTCAGGTAAAAACTTATTTTTTAATATTTGTATGAGCTTGTTCTTCAAAATATGTGATGAATAGACATCTGAGTCTAGGGTCTGTATCCTGAGCAGTTGAGTGCTGATTGTTATAATTCATATTTCTTCAGCAAATGACCAAATGTGGGTACCTGTAGGGTGGTAAAGGCAAAGAGGTAACTAATATTGGGACTGTGGTTCCAAGCATTAAGTGGACAGCATTTTGTTCTGATATGGTATGACATCTGATTGTAAGCTGTGTATTTACTTTTAAAAAAAGAGTAATAGTTTTTGCTGGTGGTTGTATGTTTTGAGTCTGCTTTGGCAGAGAAGACCTTTTTCTTTAGTAGTATACAACAGTATGAAGAGTTTAGTGGTTTTCAAGCTCTAGGTACATAGAAATGACACTATTAAGAATTTAGGAGAGAGCTACCATTCAAGGTCAGTCTATCTGGTTCATTAAAATAATTCAGATGGAAAATAAAATTGTTTTATTGTTGATTCATACAGAAGTGTTCTCTTTGTATCCATTTACTATTATTAAAATTACTCTCCCAAAAAACAAACATTCTCTGAAATCATTTTTATCCCCATAACTTGAAGTTGTGAAGTGAATATGGATGTGGCAGTGTGTACGCATGTCACATGTCACTACTATGTGTTGAATTTATTCATTCAAAAATTTATTTGATTGTGTCGTGAACAGTGTTCCTGTGTTTGTGATTTGGTTTTGTATACTGCATACCTGTTTCATTTAACAGGATCGTTTGAACGAGAGATTGGCAGGCCTTTCAGCACCAACACATGACCTTGCACCTCAAGATATTCGTGAGAAGAAGTTTACTGGTCGATGTCGCTTATATATTGGTAATCTGACTAGTGATGTAACAGAAGATGAGATAACACAACTATTCCAGCCTTTTGGAGAAACTGCTGAACTTTTTGTCAATAAAGAGAAGAATTTTGCTTTTATTAGATTGGTAAGTGATAATAACATGAATTCATTGTTTATTTTACTGGTATTTGCTGTTTTACTAAACCAGTTCTTATCTTTTCTCTCACATTCTCTTGAGTACAAGCTGTGAAGAAAAAAATTGGAATTACCGTATGATATTTGTGATTAAACCATGCGGCTATATATATCTGAGCTTGTTTCAAGAAAAGTGGTTAATACATTTCTGAGTGTATTTTATCATTTCATGGTATTTTTAAAGAAACTGGGAACTTTTGGGGGGCACATTAGGCATTGGGTAAACTGCTATATATCAGACTTACTACCATTCTCCATCTACATAGCAGCTTCTGTTGCTGGTATGTGATACCATCCTTTTGACCATTTTAGGATTACCGGGCTAATGCAGAAAAAGCAAAGAGAGAGTTGGATGGTCAAATGAGAAAAGGCAGAGCACTGAAAGTTCGCTTTGCTCCTCACAGTGCAGCAGTGAAAGTGAAGAATTTGACTCCATGGGTGAGCAATGAGCTCCTTGAGAAGGCTTTCTCAGTGTTTGGGGAGGTGAGTTCAATTGCAGTTAAGAGCTTTTTGTTCCTAATCCTGTAGCAGCATCTCTGAAACATTATATTGTTCCTCTTTACACTTTTAAGTGGCTTTAGTTATGTATTGGCCTCAGGAATACTGTTTCCTGTATGCCATGGAGTTTCTAGTCACCTTGGTTTACCTCTATTAATGAATTTAAAATTATCATAATATGCAGTCTTTTACAATGAAGAATTCTGCATACCAAGAGTGTCTTGCTTCCAGATGGTCTCACATTGTCATTAGATAGCAAAGTTTTGTAGAATCATATTTTCATCAAGTCCCATATTTTTGAATGAAAGTAGATGCAGTAATGTTGCAGATGTAACCTGATCTAGAAGTGTGGAATGCAAGGAAGTTCTATTAAGTATAAGTTGATTCTCAACTGGGGTACTAAATATCATGGCCAAGTTGTTGGCTTTATATTTAAGTGGGCTTCAGTGAGAGAGCTGCAATCCTATCAGTTTTTTTTTGTAATTTTCTCTGTCTCCAAACAGTTAACGGGTTGTTACCTTAAATTAGGCCACAATGTCTTTCTTGTACGATTTATCAGTGCTGTATAGTTCATGTTGATGGCATCTTTAAATTAACTGTGAAGAACATATTTTAAATTGCAGTGGCTCTGTAGTATGTTTTAAAAGTAAAATTTAATGCTTAAACTGTCTGTACTTCCAGATTGAACGAGCCGTTATTATTGTTGATGAACGTGGAAAGTCGATGGGGGAAGGCATTATTGAATTTGCTAGAAAACCAGGAGCACAAATGGCATTGCGACGATGTACTGAAGGATGCTTTTTCCTTACTGCGTAAGTATGTGTATAAAGTTTGTATTCTGGTACAATATATGGAACTGAGAATACCAGAAATCCCTGTCACTATGTAGCATTTTCCATCTAAGGTGAGTATCAAGGGTTTGTAGAGCCATGTAGCCTGGTAGACGTTTACCATTGTTTCATCAGGTCGATGAGTAAGCTGTGTAGGTGGTATATGAATTGATTTTATGATTGGTGTCCATACACAATTTTGTCACCTACCTGAACTGTTTGTATCTGGTCCCATGTACACTTGATCTATTTATTCAGTTTTGACTTTGGGTCATAATTACACTTGTATAGGATTGAGTGGATAGTTCCCATGTGTCATCTATCCTTTGTTCAGTATATTATCTTTAGTACAGCTTTAAATAGGCAATTAATAGATGTCAATAACATCGTGATCTGGTTAATTTAGTCCCTCTTACTGTTTATTAACTTGCTTTTAACGGCTTTAGCTTATATGGTTGCAAAAACTGTCGGTTAAGGCTGGAGCCACACGACTGTACAAAGTATGTCTGTTGTAACGCACATCGTGACGTCCGTCATAGAATTATGATTTGTAAGTACAGACAGTACTTCCCCCCCCCCCAATCCTTTCAAGCTGCCGCGGTAAATGGCGCTCGTGTGGTGTCCTTACCTACGTCCATACAAAAGTGTCTGTTGCAACGGATGTACTTTGTACGGTCGTGTGGCCCCAGCCTAACATGCTATGGGTTCAAAGGGGTTCCATGTCAGCTCAACCTTCAGAGTATTGTTATGAGCTAAACTTCAAGATGTGCATTTGGTTTCCAGGCATATTATAGAATGACTATTCTGGACATAAATTCTGGAGTATTTAATTTTGTGTTACAATTTTCAGTTCCCTTCGTCCAGTTGTGTTGGAACCATTTGAACAATTAGATGATGTAGATGGTTACGCCGAAAAGAACTTGCCAAAGAAGAATCCTGAATACTACAAGGCACGAGAGGTAAATATTAAACTAGTAAGCATAGTGTTTGACTTAAAATGTCTGATTATTTCTTGTTATATTACTTAAATTTATAATACATGTTTCTTATAGGTTGGTCCTCGGTTTGCATCCCCTGGGAGTTTTGAATATGAGTATGGAACTCGCTGGAAACAGCTTCATGAATTATACAAACAAAAGGAAGAAGCATTAGCACGTGAAATGAAGATGGAGGAAGAGAAACTTGAGGCTCAAATGGAATATGCTCGCTATGAACATGAAACAGAGATTCTCAGGGAACGTAAGTTTTGTCGAATTGTGTGCACATGTAGGTCAATGTTTTATTATTATTGAGGTTTAGTTTAGAGTTTTCAAAGTCCAAAAGAAGAAAAATTTCTTAATCTGCTTTGGAATATTGTGTTATATACATGAAGTATGGTGCAGTGAATGTAATATTTTATTTGGACCATATAAATTCTATACTTATAAAATGATCATAGGAAGAGAAGTTTACATCAGCTGCAAATTCCTCATACTGGATGACTGCACTATGCTGACCAAAAGGAATGCATTTGTTTTCTTAGAAGGTAAAGTCATATGTTGCAGAGAAAAGATATTTTTCTTTGAAGTAGACTAAAGTTGAATTTTACTACCTTGTACTTTTAAAGAGGTTATTACTGTTTTAATATACATTTATCTGTATACACACATATTAATTTTAAATTTTCCCAGCTTGTAATTAGTTGCATATTTATTAATGTATTTGCATCAGTGCATTGTTTGGCAATTTGTTGTGTGACCATATTATATTGTGAAATGGTGCATTGTGCAAATAAGTTACAAGTTTTAATAAGAGATCTTCACTAAAATGTTTTATTGATACATATACACACACATGCCTTTTGTTTTGTATGTGTGCACACGCGCAGTGTGACAGTTAAATCCCCAGACTGCTTACTGTTGCATTGAGTTGTGAGTGAGTAATAACTAAACAGGGCATTGTTCTCCTTGAGCTTGTTGAACGAGGTTAAACAATGAACCAGAATTGTTGTTTGGAAATATTGGTAGTTACGTGAGGCTGTTCATCAGAGAAGACCTGAACTTCAGCCCGATGCTTGGATCGTGCATCATGACAACGTGGTGTTGAACTGTTAGTACAACACCTGTTGTGTGGGGTACCAGTATAATTTTGAAATATGTGTCTTCAACGTCATTGTCAAAGTGAACTTGATTGGGGGGTTTGTTTCTGTAGTGGCAACCATGATGATCTAATGTAGGAATTACCGTATGATAATGCTGATTTGAATTTTGCGGCTGATTTAATCTGAGCTTGCCACTTTTACTGTGCCATAAACTGCAGCAACTTGTAATTTTTTGCCTTGTTTTTCCTTTAAAATGTCGTCTTATTGTAGAACTGCGTCAGCGTGAACTTGATCGGGAGCGTCAGAAACGGGAATGGGAAATGAAGGAACGTCAGGCTGAAGAACAGCGGTTGGCTGATGAAGAACGTATGCGTCGGCAGCAGGAGGAAATGCAACTGAGAATGCACCACCAGGAGGAAGAAATGCGTCGGCGTCAGCAAGAAAACACACTTTTTATGCAGGTAGGTCCTACATTTTTGTCACTGTGTATTTATGGTTCTGTGGGTTGCTGATTGCACCAGAACTTTGGTTGAAATTCTGTATGGTGTAGTGTAGTGAAAGTCATTCATGAAATGGTTTAAGAAATGTTGAATGGTGCATGCTGCATAAAGTGAGATTTTTTCCACCGCCTTTGCCATTGTGTGAATTTTCTGACAAGCTATCCCCCCAACTTTTTTCCCTGCTTGCAATTTTGCTTCTGAAGCTATATGTAGCTGATGATCTGTAAACATGCCATTAACCACCCCTCTGTGCCTCTCTTTGGTTAAAGTGAAGAAACTTAGATTGTTACCATCTGGATGGAAAGTGCATCTCTTCCAATAATAATGCCAGACACTGTTACAACCTGCCATCTGGTGCTTTGCCTTTTAGCACACTAGGAGAATATATGTGGAAGTGTTTGCTCCATTTATTGTTTTCTGTGTTGAAATGTTTGCTCCTTTCATTATGTACTTTGCTTCTTGACTAGTAGACAGTAGTTGAAGGTATATGTGTTCTTTGTACTGTTCAAGTGAAAAGTGTTGGTTTCTAATTATGACAATGAAACAAAAGTGGTTAGATTTAATTTAATATGTCTTAGCAATTAGCTAAAGAGCTGTCAGATTGACCTTTTCAACATTGTTCAGCATTATTGCTAGCCGTGCTAGGAGATTGTTAATTTTGAAGGATGAAGACAAAATATGTGATGGCATATAAGCATTTACACATGTACGTGAATGTTGGTGGGACTTGAACTGTAGTGCAGAAGATCGTGGGTAAAATATGGGTATTATTCCATGCTTACAGCAAATTGTTGGGACTTTACTTATAAGTGACAGTTCCTAATTTTCAGTCACAGTGCAAGATGTTTCATTACTGTGAGAAAGTCTCGGATAGAGTTAAATGTTTAATTCTGCGTTGTTTTCTTACCTGCCTGATTACTACTGTATAGAAGAATAAACTTCAACTAAGTACCTGTTGCAATGAGTATATACAGTGAAACCTCGATGCATCGTTTTTGGCGGGGGTGGGAAATAACGATGAATACGGGAAAATGATAGTTGCGGGAAAGCATTAGAAATTTAAAAAAACTGAATGTTTCAGTACCTTCACAATGTTTGGTTTTCTGTATATTTCTATTTCAGGATCATCTTTTTATTTCCTTTTCTAATTAATTTTGCAAACTATTGTTTTAAAAGTTGAATGCTTTATGTGTTAATTTAAATTTAAGGTACACATTTCCTCTTTAACCTGCTTTCATGAATCCACAATCTTGTGCAATACAGGATGTCATGCAGACTGCTTGACATTCACAAAGAGATAAGTCGAGCAACCATATCGATTGATATTCTGAATTTTGTTTGTTGCCTTTTTCTTTTTCAAAGGCTCATCAGTTAAGCAGTTTGTTGGATCAGCAAGAGCAGGCATTACGACAGACTCCGGCTGGTTATGACTCACCTGGTGCTGACCCAGTCATTCGAGATTATGATGCTGTTGGAGGTTAGTCAGTATACCATTCTTTACAGCACTTTTGATGGTGGAGATTGGGTTGTTTAGTCAAATTTGTAGAAACTATAGTGCCTGTAGCAATTTGTTAAGCATTAGAAAGTTGATTTTCTACGGTTTGAGGATTTCAGTGGAAATACCTTGTTCAATCACATTTACGATAAAATTGATATTATAATTACCCATTGATTCTTAGCAATAATGTGGCTGAACTAATGAGCAGAATTTGATGCGATATAAATATATTGTTAAGACTGGTTTTCTGTTTGACAAAGGCATGTTTCTCTTCTGCAGGTGCTGGACCTGGAGCCATTCCACCGGTAATGTACTAAATATTTCTTTATTTTAAAATTAAGGCTTTTCTTTCCAGATCTTTTACCTTAGCATTTATGGCTTGGCTTCATTTTTATTATCCTTCAAGGCACGTGAATCTTGCCTTCAGTTTGAGAAACAAAGTGACTAGAAATGTTTCCAAGGATCAATATTTGGATCAATTGCCTTGTATTCAGAAAGGGTATAGATTTGTAGAGACTTTCCATGTGCCTGGGTATTTGAAAGGGCCTTCATCTGTTTGTACTTGAGGTGGTTAGTGTTTCATTGTCAAAAAATGGCAAATTAAAAATTCTTAGCAGTTATATAAAAGTTACCAAAGCTTTATGATCCATACAAAATATTAATATAATAGTCTCAATGCTTCCATGTCTCATTCCTTATTCTTCTGGACATTCACATTTCTTTTTTAAAATAAAAATTTCTGTATTCCAAAATTAGGACACGTGATGTAGTAGCATCTGTGACAGAGCAGAACTGTGTATCCAAGTCTTTGGCTGCAGTTTTTCCAACTCTTAATGCATGCTATTTGGTACTTCATAACCAGAACTGGAAAAATTGTTTGGAGATATGTGTGATCTCTTGATCATGGATTTACAAGTCTGCTCTTCATGTACCTCCTTATGACATTTTTCCAGGTGTGGTTGTAATCTTAAGTAAATGGAAGAATGCATTGAAGTCTTTATGGTATAACTGAATGAATTGCTAGTTGCTGGAGGAGCAGTTGATGGGTAGTTTTACAAATGTCATCATCTAAGTTATTCCATGCCATTTGATACTTTCTGAAGGTACATTACCACTCACAATTTTTAAGTGCTTTGATGTTTTTGTGTGACACGGTCAAGTAAATTGTACAGTTTAGTATCATTTGGTGTTGTATTGTACTTTGACTTTCAGAGATCTTTCATCAGTGCCAAATGATCATACAAAATGCATGTGATGGAGATGTACATGCATGATACATATTTGGACAACATTATGCTGAATCATTTGTTTCAGCCCAGTCCATTTTTAATTTGATTGCAATAACATCTAAAAATCTATATGCATACAAATTGCATTTGTTCTTATCTCATTAAGTTATTTCTGATATGTTTTTGGCATGTTCATAAATATGGGCCTTGGTAACTGGTTGCTGAGACATTCTGTTAGTTACATTAAGTATTACCTCCTCAGTCATCTGCTCCGACCTCTTTGCATTGTTAGGAAATTTGAGTTAATCGTGTTAAAAATCAGTTCCATATTCTTTCAGTCTTGTTATTGTTGGATCCAGGTTGTCACATTGTGGGGGTGACTGCTGTTGGTTACTGTGAACTGGCGACATTACATGATACTTTGATGTTTTCATATTGAAAATATATAGCTTCTTACTGGTGGGTGGGAGGTTCTGTTCAGTATTATGCAACCATATTTATAGTACCTGTTCACATATACATGAGATAAGCAAAAAGAATGTAGAGGATTTTGTGCTTCGACGAGCCATTCCACCTTGTGTTTTGCTTTCGGGGGGTTTATATATTAGGCTACTTGTTGTATTAAATAGGAAAGATATGTTGATGGTTTCTGTCAACCAATAGTATTTGTTTTATACACATACACTGGTTAAGATTATCTGTGCAGTTTTTGTATAATGTGCCCCAGTCGGTTGTGCAGATGTTTTTGCTAAGAGCACTGGACACAACTCAAAATGTGGAACATTAGCTGCTGCTTGTTTTTCTAGTCTTCCTTTGCAGAGGGAGGTCATAATTTTTAGTTTCCTTAATTTATGACAAGGTTTGAAAATGTTTTGATTTCTGGGAGAAATAGTTCTTTGATTTGTATGCTGAAACTTCAACTCATATTCTACAATACCAAATTCTTCATAAATTTTTGTGAGTTTGTTATTAATTCTCTGACATTTGTTATATTGATATATCTGATGATGACCTGTTAAATGAAAAATGTTTTTACATTTATGATTGGCTGTGAATTGCTTGAAGGGATAGCTAGCTACATTGTCTGTCTTGTGTGTGTGTGCAATCACAAAGCCCAGCTTCAACTTCTGTTGATACTGGTATAGTTTCTCTTTCTACATTGCACATACAGGTCTTTGGGGTCCAGTTGAAACTTTTCTTGAGCTCGGTGCTTCTCCCATGCGTTTCTTTGCTAATACCTCCATCAAAGTAAGCCTGCGAACGCTAACTAATTTCTTTTCTTTTCAAGGAAACATTGTAATTGCTTTCTCAGCTACCATAAAAATATGTAGCTGTCATGTATATTTAATTCTAAAGGCCATCTTATTTTTCAACCAATATCCTATCCTAAATTCTGTAATAATAATGATTAATGGAATTCCTTAACATGTGATTATATTAAAGTTATTTGGGTGGGTTAGGTAAAGTGTGTTATGGTAATATAATACTTGGATATAAAGTTTGATAGCATATCCAAGTTGTAAAATGAGTTGCTAGTGTTTCAGGTATATATAAAGCACTGTGGTGCATTTTGCAAACAACTTACACAGTGGTTAGGAAAGTGTGTGAGTCTTATTTTCTTGAGTGTTTTATTTTAATTTATTGTGGAATTTTTGTAAGGTTTATAAAACCACACATTGTAACATACAGGTATTTCTGAATCAAGCTTTTATGTTTCTCACACATTTTTATATGCATCTTGACCTGTCTGTTTTATGGCATTTGTTTTAAAAACTGTTGTCAGGAAATGTTGCAGATTAGAAAGTAATGACGTGTTTCTCAGCCATTGCATTTTGCTGTGCTACTATTGTGGTCATTGTACTGTGATGAGTAACACATGATTTGTCAAGTGTGTGTGAGTTAAAATTGGATGATGTTGAATTATCCCAGATTTTACGTGACAGTTTATAAATGCAGAAAGTCTAGTTTTCTACGTGCACATGTTGTCTCATAACTTTTCTCCAAATCCTCATGTGGGGAACACCACACATGCATGACATGGTTGCTTAGCCTGGATTTGGAGTTTTGCGCAGTGTATCTCCATATTCTATACACATTAAATGGAATATAGTGTAACCTCAATATAATAGGAATATAAAGGTAATGAAAGTGCTTATAATGGATATTCATATATGAAAATTATTGAAACGCAAGCCTGTCTTCTAAGTATTAATTATGACTTAATATTGTACCGAGTTTAAAACATACTGTGGGCAGGGCAGTGTTTATTCTTTTTTAAAGTGGTTTTAACACTTGATTGCTTATTAGAGCCATCTTTTGCAAGCAAAAGTCTGGCCTACTAAGTCTCTTCCATAATTTACTGTGCTTGAATGCATTACCATTGCATTTGTACAGCCATGGCTCTTGGAGGAAGGGTAGGGATTATTATTTGAATCAGCTCTCAGCTATTCGAGGTCAAGCTGTTGGAACTGGAATGTTTAGTTTAGGGGAGGAACAGAAGGTTGCAACCTTCCAGCCATAAGTGGCTATGAAAGCAAAATTGCTAATACAGTTCAGTAGCAGAAAATGCCATCAATGTTCTGAATACTAGGATACCAGGCCAAAAATGGTAAATGTAAATTCAGTAAATGTGTTTGTATGTCTTTTTAGTATAGAAATCAGAACATGTAAAACAAATTAATTATTGGACTGTGTAGAAACACAGGATACATGTTTTAACATCTTATGTGTTCCTCAAGGGAATGTTAAGAGTTCAGATGTTCCTTACCCTGTGAATCATTTTCCACGTGTGCAATGTTAATGGTGGTGGTAATGAATGTGGTTGATGTAATGTAGTCATCATTGTAAGCTGTACTCATTGTGATTACACTATGAAATTTATTCAGAAGGATTACAGAATCGGTTGTGTCATTTTGTAGCAAAACAAATCAAGTTTTACCTCAAACAGTCATTTTGGTTCGATGTGATTGCCATTGGTGATACTGCAGACATCCCACCTGAAATCAATGTCTTGCCAAACACGATCAAGCATATCCGGTGTCACTTCTGCAACTGCGGCGGTGATTCAAGCTTTGAGCTCAGTGAGATTGGCAGGTAAGGGTGGAACATGCACACGATCTTTAATGAAACCCAGTAAGAAAAAATCGAGAGGTGGCCATGCTATCGACCCTGTTTGACCAATCCACCGACCTGGGAAACGGTTATTGAGGAAATCCCGGACTTCTGTGAGGTGGTGCGCCATCTTGCTGGAAGTGAATGCATCCTTTTTGGTCATCTTCGTCTAACTGTGGTATGAGAAAATTTTCAAGCATATCCAGATACACGATACCGTTGATGGTTCTCTCGTGGAAAAAGAACGGGCTGTACACTTTAACTTTGCTAAGGGCACAAAACATTCACCTTTGGGCTGTCACGAAAGTGTTCCAGAAATGCACGTGGATTTTCGCTGCCCCAAATCCTGCAGTTCCAGGTGTTCACCTTACCAGTGACATGAAATGTCGATTCATCACTAAAGATTATGTAGTCCAGTAATGTTTCGTCTTCCCCTATCCGATGCAACATTTCTGCGCAGAATTCCTGACGAGCCAGTAATTTCTTGCACAATGGTAAATCTGCAAACGTTTTCGTAAAATGCGCCAAACGGTCGGTTGTGGAATTCCAGTCTCACAAGACGCACGTCGCGTTGATTTCGCAGGACTACGGACAAAGCTCTCCCTCACTCGTTCCACGACAGCACCAGAAACACGCGGGCGACCTGGAGATTTGTCATGTGGGCGACCTGGAGATTTGTCATGGCGAACAGAACAACCAGTCTCAACAAAATTCTTGTGTCAAGAGTAAATTGTAGGTCTACTGGGAGGATTCTTGCCATATTGGGTGTGAAAATTTCGTTAAACCATTGTCGCAGATTTTATTTCTTCAAACCACAGCACACAGCGAGCGTGCTCCGCATCTGTAAAAGTAGCCATTTTCAAATGCACTTGTGCTTGCGGTGACGGAAATCGATACTACAGCACAATGTGAGTCAAACTTGATTTGTTTTGCTACAAAATGACACCTAACCGATTCTGTAAGCT